GTATTTCTGCAGTCTGCGTATCTGATTTTAAACAGGGGTTAAAGCTGCCTCAGGTAAAATCAAAGAGCATTTGGTAACTGGAAGCTTTCAGGACTCAGATTTTCAAAACTGCCTGGGAAGTCTAGACCCTAATTATTACAATATTAGTGGGAATTGCATTTGCAAGTGGAAGCCAATTGCTTTGACAATCTCAGTTATCATCCTCATCTGTCAACAGCATCGAGAACTCAGAACATCTTTCTGGTTAAATATGCATGACTTTGCATCTAGAATGTGTTGATACTATGTTGGAAAAAAAAAAAAAAGAATAGCAAATGTAATATACATCTGTAACACGACTTTCTACTACTCAAAGAAAAAGCAGATTGAAGCTTTACCTCTTTATGAACGTGCATTAAAGATATATGAAGACAGCTTTGGTCACATGCATCCTCGGGTGGGGGAAACTCTGAAAAACTTGGCTGTGCTAAGGTAAGACTACATGCTTTAGCCCTGTAAAAGCAAATCACTATAAAAATTACTGGATGAAACAAAACATCGTGGACTTGTGTACTTACTAGGAAAGTAGAGAGCCATAAGTACGCTTTGTGGCTAGCATGGTGTGTGTTTCAGTTGAAATGAATTGAGACTTGTTTTATTTGCTTGTTTCAACTTTGTTTTACTTTTTCCTAAAGCTATGAAGGGGGAGACTTTGAGAAGGCAGCTGAACTTTACAAGAGAGCTATGGAAATAAAAGAAGCAGAGGCTTCGCTGATAGGTGGAAAAGCAACTTCTCGACACTCATCGAGTGGAGATACATTCAGCTTGAAAAGTGCATTATCACCAAACGTTTTTCTGGAGCATGGACAAAGGTGATATAAACCTGCTGAAAGAAAAGGCAGTCTGCTATTTTAAAGCAGACATAAAATTATTAAGACAAATCTATTTTTCCTAGGATAATGTACTATTTTGGGACTGACACCCGTCTTCATGAATGACAGGGAAACAAATGTTTACGCTTGAAATCCTTTCGTGTTGACTTTGCACGCTGTATGGTACAAAGTGAGCTGCTTTCGTTGTACATAGGTAGGCCTGTTAGTTGCTAGCTCACGTTATAGCTAATACCAAACTGTGGATTTGATACCTCTTAGCCTAAGTGCCAGGATCATAACAAGTTCAGTTGAACCAGTTGTATATACTCTGTGGGGCAGTTCCTATTTCTATGTTGTAATATCCTGGCTTAGAGAATTTGTGTATTTTTGTTTCATCAATCCTTGCAGCCTTTTCAGAAGCTTTTAAAGTTGTTTCTAAAGAGACAGTAATTTTGAAAAAGTCAAAATACTGTTCCACCCAAAGCTTTACCTGCAGGGCGATTTCAGCTTTAAGCAAACTTACATTCAAGGGTCTTGTGCAAAAATAATTGTTTTCCTTGGGGAGCTAATGTATCTAAACGTATCATGACCTACAGTTGAAGCTCTTGTCAGATTCAACTGTGTTCGGTAAAAATACTTCCTGGGAGGAATCAGAACGAGGAAGATTACGACTGGACTCCCTGTTGTTAACCCTTTAGCGATACTTTTCACTATTTAATCTCCTTGAAACCCTTAAAATACAAGTAATGTTTGTATTAGCTGGAAAAAAAATGGTGATGCAAAAGTTTGCCATCAGATAAAGAGATGCTAATCAAGTCTACCTGCCTGTTGTATTTAATACCCTTGTCATCTAGAAGAATCAGTTTGCAGAGTGTTCTCATTCAGTGCATAAATCCATGAATCAATTTAAATACATACTAAAAGAAGGCTTTACATTCAATTTTTTATAAGTGAAGAATTAATCGAAACCTCACTATAATGTTTCAGAAGCAACTGAGGTAAAGATTTATTTGACCCAGTTTGAAAAATGCAAATGGCCTTTACCTCAGAGGTATTTACCTTCCACAGTATTTTTTTCCCTTTTAGAGATTTTTTAATCAAAACAAGTTTTTCCACTGTATTCCCACCACCTTGAAAAGTTTTGAAGATGGGAAAGTTCTTTGCAGGACTGTTAGTGAGTAAGGAGAGGGACGAAAGGAAAAAAACACCAAACAACAAAACAAACAAACAAAAAACTACCCCCACAAAGGACAAGAGCACCAACCAAACAAAAAAAAAAACCACCACCCAAACCCTCAGCCTTCTCAGCTTGTATATTTCTGTTGCCTGCTCTTCTCAGACCTGGCAATTCCCTCCTCTAAAGCCAGTGCTCTGAGTCTAGATGTCTGTCTAGCTTGTCACCTCTCTTCTGATTTTAACACATATAACAATGTGTCTTGCTCTCCTAAAGAGTTTTCTTAACGTTGCTAGCTTAAATAAGAAGCTGCTTTCTAGACCTTCAGTGTTAGATCAGGCTTTCCCCATTTAGTGATTTCCAGTTCTGAACTGTTACTATTCTTCCCTTGAGTGACGTCTCTCCAAGTTATTCATGGGTTGCAGGCTTGCTTTTGGAGGAAAAATCAGTCCCTAAACATAGCAGATCCCAACCATCCGTAGTCCATTAGCAAAGACAGTGAGGAATCAATATGCTGACCCTGTCACCCCAAAGAAAACTTTGTGCAGAAAGTAACACAGGATCATGAGTCATAGTGGAGGGGCTTGCAGGCCACAAGCTTACACAGCTGTAGTCGCAGCACTCAAGACAGTTATTCACGTATTTGTGGTTGTACCTCAGAGACATTAAAGAAAAGGTAATTTGTATAGCTGGTGTATGCCAAGTAATACTTCTGTGTAGGAGAACTCTACTTCAAAACAGTGTCGCCAGTTTCAATGGAGATTTAATCAGTCAGAATATTCATTATACACTGTAAAAATGGAAAGGTTCTTTTATAAGATTGCCAGATAAAGCTGGACTAAACAATTGCAATGTGCTTTAATTTGTTAGTTCATAACAAAAGAAGTCATAAACTGTCCATTATCTTTTATAGTCAGAGTAGATTCTACTTGTAAATGTCTATTTGATTAAAAAAAAAATCCTTAAAGCTGCTTGCTTTTGATGCTGTTTATTTTTAAATAATTTTAACCATTGGCACACACAATCATCTTAATGTATTTTCTAATTATTTCAAATTCTTCTTGTATATACAAGTTGAAAGTCTGAAAGTAAGATGAGAACCATTTGGCATACTCTGTAAGTGGGCTTACAAAAGTTTTGCTCTTAAAACTGTGTTTTAAAACTGTAAACAGTTGCCTCTTGTAAAGCTGTCAATCATGTGACAGCAGTCACATCAGCCAAATAGGTAAGAGTCAAAATTAACTGAGCTGTTGCAGAAGCGAGTCAGCCGTTTGCCTGAGGATCTCTAGAGCCAGGTGTGTGCCTCACTTTTATTGTTCCCAACAGAAAGGTGAAGTCAGAGAAACACTGAAACTGACACTTGGATCAAGCTCACATAGACTCAGTGAGACCTTTCTAATGATCTGATCATTCTAATTCCCATCCCTCTGTAGAGTTTGTTTCCAAAACCTAGTTTCTCCAAAATGGAACTCAATCCAAAAAACATACTTCCATTTTACAGTATAATGCCCCACACCCAAAACCTCCCTCACCAGCTTCAGAGGTGATTTTTATGTGATATATTCTAGTGCCAGCTGTGGAGGAAACAGATTTTTAAGTTTGGAACCATTGCTTAGAAATCAAACATTTAATGAAGTATTCCTTCAGCTGCCCTAAGAACCAGAAGCACTTCCCCCATATCACTCTCGTTTCCTGTTGGCTGGGTAGTGCTACTGCCAGGACTAGCTGGTTCTGTGTTGGCTGCATCATGCTGTGGAAGGGTTTTTTGGACAGCCCAAGTTGTAAATGTTTGTGTTAACACTGCAGAGACTGAAATTTATTCTTATAAGCCAAATTTAAATAATGATCAAGTTCTGGATGGGACACCCACACTAGTTAAAAATATTTGAAATTGATACTTCCAGTTGTGCAGGGTACTGGCACTACAGGATGTGTAGGTTTACATGTCAGTTTGACCTGTGGTAATTTAGAAGGTAATACCACTGCACAAACATTATTTACAAGACAAATACAATAGCTTAGCTACTCCACTGAAGATATTTGCAACACTAAATAAAGTTTAGAGCATTTAGCTTTAGAAGTTTTCTTGTGCAAACTCAGATTAATTCTATTCCTTAGTATAGCCCCTGTGACGAGGACAGATCAGAATTATAGCTAAACTTCTAATAACCAACTAAAATATTTGAAGAGAAAGAGAGGGACTCCTGTTCTTCCCAATGTTGCTGGTAATTCATACAGATTTTGTCATTAAAAGCATCTGCCAGCTGAAATAGTGGCCTGCTAATAGCCAGTCTGCTAGTATAATTATCTACTAACAAAAGACTTCACCTTGTCGCAGCATACTCAAAGCATCATCACGTACAAAACACACAGGCAGCTATTTAAGAATAAGCAGTAGTAAAACATTGATAAAACCAAGGAAGTTTAAGAAACATTCCCTCCCAGAGATATTTAAGGCAGATGAAAAGGCTGAAGTGTTCTGTTACTCAGACAAAGTAGCTACAGCACGATCCATGCCAAGAATTTCCAGAGACCAGTGAGCAACGATGAGTACAAGTGCCTGGAAAACCAGGAGCAACATAAGTGAGGCACAATCATCTGCCCTTGACCTACTCAGTCCACTCCAGCAGATTTCTTCTTCCACTTGTCCTATATTATGGACTGTTCTCATCATGTGACACTGCATATTATGTGGTATGCCTGCTTTTGTTACTTGATCCATCTTTTATTTTCTGCTGAATATCTGAACACTAGCAATGCTGAGAAATCAAAATTTACAGTAGCACAACTCTGTATCTTAAAGATGTGAATAGACAACAGAATATAAACGAAGCGTTTCCTTCCTGCCCCTGTAACAGTTCCATTTCATCAGAAGTGTAAAGATAAGCTTCAGTGGAGGTACAAAGAAAAAAGAAAAGCCTGGATGTCTCAAAATCCAATGCCAATCTGAAGTCCCCAAAGTTGCACTTGATACTTGTTTTGCTACATGTTTCTCATTTTGGCCATGAGTTCTTCTAGGCTTTCTTCAGACTCTGCTACCATTTCCTCAGTTACCAAATCCTCTTCCTATTAGGAACAGGAGGAAAAAGTTGACAACAAAAATAGCAAACAAAAACCCCCACACAAATAAGCTTTTTTGCTGTTACACCACACCATTTTCCCAGAACCAAGCACTCAGTTGCAAGATTAGGCCTAAATGGTTATAAGCTTAAATTGTAAACCATTCTGACTAGGAGTTAGAATGTTCTGGCTGCAATATGTACAGATACTGTGTCCCCCAGGTACACCAATTGCTCTTTGACTACATAGAGCTTTTACAAGATAAACACAGTAAAAATTAGTCACAGAAATATCAACAGAGAAATTCATGTTTGTTTCCCTTCTTCCACCCCCCAAATACATTCACTCCTATCACCTCAAACTTACATTCACACGAGCATCCACACTGAAAGAAACGTACTTCACAGAAACACAAGACTGGGCCATAGAAGGCACATATCGGGTGTAGAGGTACAGTTTCACTGGAATTGTTCAAGATGGAATGGCACGTTAGGTTTAAAGGGTAACTAAACCGGCCAGTATTACAAATTGAATCTACGTGTATTTCAAAAATTGATAAAGAGTAAATACATTACCTTGTTTGGGATAGTATATGCTACAGTAATTCCCTCGGGAAGCTCAGGTACTGGGCCAGATGCAGCCTTCAGCTCATCTTCTGAAATTTCTGATACTAATTCAATGCCTTTGCATTAAAAGGGATCGAGAACTCCGTTAGAAGAAAAAGTTCTTTAATCACTGTGTTAACACAGTAAAGAGCAAAACAGCAGCTACTTTTTCGAAACAGAAAAATAGCTAAAAGCAGAAACACCTTTGATTTCAACTACTTCATTCCATTATCACTACAAGATTTCCCCTTTACAATGTATGAAATGGTTCTATACAGGTAACCTCTCCTATAGGACTTCCTTGTCTTTACCATTTAAGTCTTATCGTGAGGACACTTCTCCCAGTGGTAAGCTAAGATTATTTTCTGTATCATGTAATAAACAGAATGCATATATCCATTCTTGAAATGGCTATATAACACACACTTATTGTTCCTTAAGACAATTCCTTCTAATTTAAAGCCCTCAGAGGAATATAAAAATCCATCAGATGCCTCAGCACAGCCGTTATGAAAACAACAAATGCTCATTGGTTACAGATTTAAGAGGAACACACAGCAAATACATCTTCTCACATCTTACATATCTTCAGACCATCTTCTGAGAAAGTTTTTTTTATTCAAACAGTGGTTACATTTTGAGCCTACAACCTGCACATTACACCAAAAATACATCATCAAGTGTGGTAACGTTACCATCGGAACCTGTGAAAAGCCAGCGGTAATTACGCAGTACAAGTTACAAAAAACAGGAACCTTAAGAAGTCTATCTACCTCCAGTGTGTTCACCCAAAACAAAGACTTCAATTGAATCTCAGTACTGGGAACACAATTAGTCTCCAGTTTATTACTTACCCCAGTCGTTGTCTTCATGTACTACTACTTCTTCCTGTTCAATTATTTCTTGTTTTGGTTGTGCAGCTTCTTTTTTCTGAAGGAAAACCACAAAAAGATAAAAAGCATAATAGATGTGATAGTCCAATTTTCAACAAGAGCAAAGATCAAATCTAATATTCAAACTTCTTTTAGTAGTTCAAATATGCAGTCACTATTTAGAACTTTGTTAGGCATAAAAAGGCAGAATACCTGCAAGTTAAAAAAAAAAACCCAAACCCATTAACACTCAAAAATACATGACTGCCAGAAAGGTTCAGCAATTACTGCAGAAGAAAGAGTTACCTAACTGAATGCAAGCCATTCTGCCTACCCTTTGCTTTAAGAGAACTCTTAAGTACTGTAGTTTTAGAAACACATGCAACCATCTGAAGACAAGGCTGCTGAAAACTGGAGTCGCAATGAAAGTTTCCTTTTACTACAGATCTGTAGCTGGCTTTGTTCTTCAGACTTTCAGGGGAAAAAAAAACAAAACAAAACAAAACAAAACAAAACACCACCAAAACATTTTTACCTTATAATTTTCTTGCTGTTTTCTGCAATTGTGGTCACTACATTGTGGATTTGGCTTCATGGACATACTTGGAAAGAAATCCTGCATCGCATTGTAACCAAGATAATAACTCACAGTACCAAAATTTAGCAGGTATCTAGAAACAAACAGAAAGCAGGCCCTTATGTGCAGGTGCAAACCTAAAACTTCAGAACTTCAGTTGCACAAGGAATAATTTCTCCTCAAAAAACTTTTAGAATACATTTTCACACTAGTGAAGTTGTAAAGAGTTACTGTAATTGTCTTCAAATAAGCTGTAGTCGCCTGACAACAGCGTAACTGCATCAACACAGAGCCAGGTCCTCTTGTGGCAGAAGTGTCTCAAAACAAGTCAGCCACAGGCTCAGAAAAAGTATGTTTAGAGTAGTATGTAAGCAGTTTTCTCCTGTGCCTTAATCCATTCCTTGAAACACGCGGGTACCCTGTATTACAGTGGGAGAGTTTTCAACAGCTCATTTCAGAACCAGTTTAATCATCTTTACTGTAGGGTCAGATTTGCAATGAAAATAAATATTTAAATTAAACTGCAATGTTTGCATTCTTCATTAAAGAAAAAACACATGTTGCTATGCAATTTTATAGAGCACCGCTATCTGCGCAGCTGAAAATGGAGCTTTGTGGTTTGTAGGCACACTTGCAAACAGTATTTTTATTCTTTGTAACTAGAAATTTTGGAGAGCTGACAAAACCAAGGTAAGGCTAAAACCAGGCTAAATAAGATCCTGTTCTCAAAGATGCTTGTAAGACATGGTGCATCATTTTGCAACTGAGGACAACATTGTTCAAGTATTTTCCTTGCTGATACATGCAGTTCTTTTAGCGGTTGGAGTCATGTGACAATATTTTTTGAAAATATTAAAATACGTCATGTTGCTATATAACTATTTTTAATTCACTTCAGGTTTTGAGAATATAAACACTTCAAGAGAAATTACTTAGTCTTTGTCCACGTATAAAATTTCAAAGACAAGTCAGCACTGTAGCATGTTTTGTGTATAATTTAATGTCAAATGGGAGCATGTTTAAATGTAGAACTAAGAAAAAAACGAGTGTGTGTGTATGCAGTAAAAGAAATTCTTAGGAAAACTGAAGACTTTCTTACCCCTGAAAAGTTCTATTAGAAACAGCAGCTCTAAAGTAAACACATCAGTGATTCAAGCAGTGCATATTTCAGCCCCGTCCAAGGATGCAAAGACCTTTAGGAAACAGGCCACAAACATATAAAAAGAACCAGACCCATCCTTACAAAATGTTCCTTCGGGTTTTTTTCCCTTAGGGTGCTGTACATTGAATAGCAACATAGTTACTTACTTCAGAACATTTTGTACCAGAATTCCTGCCACCACACCCATAGTTGTAGGAAGACTAGCTGCACAAACTCCTTCTCGTTTCAATGTTTTCTCATCAATATTTGCAGCAACTACAAGTGGAGGAGCACACTGAGGGAAATAAAGAAATTCCATTTAAAAAAAAAAGTATTACCCCCCCCCCCCCAAATTACACAAAATTTTAAGCTACTCCACCAGCTGTGCCAGGATCAGTCACTGGCCAGCTCATCCTCATATCCCAGTCCTTCTTTAAGAGACAAATGAGCAATTCAGCAGAGCACTGCGTACCGCAAAACAAGCAGATTCACCAGGTATGATGAGCTGTATATGTCCTGACACGGCATTTTCACTCACTCCAGATTCCATCCAGATTTGTCCGAGTTCATTGCAGGCCTTATAAACACAGAAATACACACAATCAGAAGTTTAACGGAGAAGAAAAAGTTGTAACTTGACAGTGATTGAACACATTGATCTTCCTGCTTTAAGACAAAAAAAAGGAACATGAAAAGGTAGAATGGAAATTGTTTATCACAGGACAAATTAAACCTGTCCTCATGAAGCCAGCCCTTTGTGCTTTCCCGAGGACCTGAGACTTTTGACCAAACGCAGGCGTTAGTGACCCAGTTCCTAGCACACTACAGAATCTAATTGCACAAACTACTTCTAGTGGCATGGATATAGCGTATCTGCACCTTCAGTGCACGCAGTCTGCAGATCGAGTTAGCTGAAGGATAACAGAACACGTGTGCTTGGCACATACTCTACATTGGCTGCTACTATAAAGAAAAACAGCTTGATTAGGTATACAGCTTGATTATGCCTTAAGACATTTTTAGTATACAAAAATTCATATGAAGTATACAATTAGCTATACAGTCTTTAAAAAGTTTGCAAGAATTAAGGTACCAGGCTTTGACAATACCATTACATAAACAGAATAATTTGAAAAGACAGAGAGGGCTGACAACACTTAACTCTTTTACTAACCATTAGCCACTAGCAACTTCAAAGTCTACAATTATATTTATACATGTAAAACGTGTTTTGTAAGAACTGGGTAAAGGCTCAGATTCTGTTTTCTTAAATCAAGGAGGAAATTTCTTAGAAGATTCTTGATAAGTTCCTGTCTTTTGTCTAGTCCCCACATTCCTAACATTTATAGGAGAAAACAATGCCACAGGCTGACGCCTTTGACGGCCTTACCGTGTTAATCGCCATGCGAGCTTCAAAGTTGTCCACGCAGCTTAGAACAAGATTGACAGGCTTCCCTTCCTCTAGTGCACCATTACTGAAATGAGTACCAGGAGTTTGCGTGAAATTGCTGGCAGAACAGGATACCACACGGCAATCAACACGCTGCTTTAGAGTGCAGAAGCACACGGGAAGTGCATTTCCAACATGTGCGATTGCAGAACAGGATACAACTCGCATCTTAAGATGCGCTAATATACAATGTAACTATATAACAGTAGAAATAAATGCCAACTCTAGAGAAAAGGTCTAAGCAGAAATGTCTTCATATGTATCAATTTCCCACTGGTTTTCAACTGGAAAATTGAAAAAACCCAACAATAAAAATGTGAGGCTGTGTTTAGAGCCACACACCAGCAGAAGGTGAGAGATTTTACCTTATTCTATCCATGAAATGTTCAAAGTTGTCCAGTGTTGTGATGTTGTAGTTATGTACTTCAAATTGAACATCAGGATTAATATTCCTTATGGAGGAAATAATATGAGTCCATGTTAATAAATACAATGATAACTTGCATTCCACTCCCTAACTTCACAAGTGTTGCTACAGTCTTAAGCTTCCAGTCTGAAGTCTAGAATACACCCATATTTGTCAAAAATTCACAGATTAGATAAGGAAAAAAAAAAAAAAATCACAACATATCAAAGTGGTGTAGTTTATACCAAATTTCTGAGCAAAACTAGCTGTACTTAAAAAGTAGACTTACATGAAGGTTTTGGCCAGTACAAAAAATGTCCTTAAAGTATCAATCACTCTCACAACTATTTTACACTCAAATTTCTAAATTGGATCATGCCACTCTGCAAGTGATTAAGAATGAAACATCAGTTTCCCGGAGCAGCATCCAGGTTAAATACATTTTGGTACACACTTCTTTCTCTAAGTTATACCTCAAAGTATGCTCTGCCGCTTGCACTTTACTTAATCCAGCTTGATGAGGTTGGAAGAAGAGTCTGTTCATGTTTGCCAATTCCACTTTGTCATAATCAAAGAGAAGCAGCTACAACAAAGATTGTATTAACATATGTGAATCTCCAAAGACTCTGCAACCAGAGCACTATGGCAAGGCATTTTAAACAACACAACTCATTCTAAAGCCAACAACAAAAAACCCTGACTAAGAAAGACTGAATTCGAACTCCCATTCACCAGGAACTGATCCATTAAGTCACGAAAACCACTCTTAATAAAAATCAATCTGTTCATTTGATCTAAACTAAGAATATTCAACTTATTATCTACATGAACACTATCAACTCTGTTACCACATTCCTACTTGTCATTATGACATTGACTAGAAATGTGTAATTTCTTTCACTTGTCTGGGCAGGTAGTTCTTCAAAAACAATTCACTTAAAATACCTACATAATACAGGGACTGAATTCTGAATCAACTCTTCAATGTCCTTGTCTATGCCCAAGATGCTGGTCTTCAGGAGATGCTCTTTCAGAGGATGGGGGAATAAACTTTGCAGTAGGAAACTGCATCACCTAATAATTAAGAAACTTCTTAAAGTTCCAAGAGCAAATGGTCAGGCTTTGCCTGGAAATACAATCATCTAAGCCATTCCCCAAATTCCTCCTTTAAAGAAAAATCCTGTTCTATTAACTCCGGAGGTTCTTATTATCTATACACACATCAAATTACTTTCAACTGCTGCTAATTTTTTAGCTCTAAGTCTGTCACATAACCAACACTTTGTGATAAAAAAAAATCTGTTTGACATCTACTGCACGTCAATTTCATGACTATCAACTTGATCTCATAACACAAGACTTAATCTTCTATGTGTGTTATCCCCCTTCTTTTTCTTTATTTTGTTTCCCTTTGGCAATAATGCAGTGTGAAGGTTAGGTAGATGGGCTCAAATAAGAGCACAGAGAAGACAAGCATCCAAACAAGAACCATCCATATGATACAGGATTAAGCCCTAAGTAAACCAATTTTACTAGTTTAAGAAAAACACAGACTCTTCATTTGTGATGTTACGCAAGTGCTGTTCTTAAATGATTTCTTCACAGTACTTTTTTATTTGGGCAAAATCAACAGAGTGAAATCAAATCTAAGTCTTTAGAAACACAACTGGTCCATTTACTATGAAGAAGAAAACTCTCATTACCTTACCAATGCCACACCTTGTCAACATTTCAGCAGTCACGCTGCCAACTCCACCTATACCTACTACTGCAACTGTAAAGGTACGGATCTTCTGTTGGAAGAAATGAAATACAGATAAATATATCAAAAGCCGTCCTCACAGGGAAAACACGCTGGGCTGTTTTAATGCAGACAGAATCCTACCTCATAGTCTTTGACAATTCCCATTCTTTTTAACGCCATCAAGCGACTACAAAGAAAAACAGCAACATTATACAGAAAACACTCTCTACATTTCTAATAGCAATTTTGCTTTTCAGATATTTAAAATCGCTTTTGCTTTAAAAATAATGCCACCCAGCACCAAACTCCAGCCTGCTGTTTTCACTACAGTTGTGATCGCCAGCTAGGTACAGTCTAAACGAGGCAGTAGATACTTTCCTATTAGCAACAGCAATGGAGTACTAACCCTGAAGAAATATCCTTATTCAGATGTATGAGTAACATCAATGAAATCAGGAGGACCCACAGCTATTTTTGTAAATTACTCCCTGATTTACAGAATGAAAGCCTACACTTCTCTCTTTAATGAACCATATGGCAGCAGGCCAGTGAAGACTCTTGGGCTGTTTTCTGATCAATTTGATTAGATTAACTGCAACACAACATTTTTTAAAAACAATTAATTACAGAACATCAGGTTCTGAGGATAGCTGGAAGAACTTTAAAGTAATGTTTTACCCCACTATTGCATTTTTTTCATAGAAAGTATCAATGAAAGTACAACTATCAACTTGTATTAAAGCAATTCATCCTCAAAAAAAAAACCCACAACAACATACAAAAAAGCATCAGATGTCCAGAACCCGCTGAGCATTAGAAAGGGTCCCAGATGCTCAAGACTCCTCTAAACCAAACTCTAAAATCAGTAAGTTAGAGGAATGAGAATAAGATTTCAATATAATACCAACACCTGATCCACTTATCAGAAACTCCGCTAAAAGCCTCACAGTTTCCTCTCTCCCGGTACCATAAGGCAAGATAATACAAAGTAACGCCGATAAACAGCCCTGCCAGCCCAGTCAGGTGGGAGAGTTGAGAACATCTCACCACAGAGCACCTGCCTCCCGCATTGTCCTGACACCCTCCTCAGCACACCCACCCCCCGCCCGGCCCTACCACGGCCACGCGCCTTCTCCCCTTCACCCAGACCCACAGTCCCAACCCGCGGGCCGAGACCCCACGGCCCTACCTTCTCCCCGTCCGCTACACCCCGACCCAGCCCCCGGCCCTCTCCCCACAACCCCCGCAGGCGCAGCCTCCCCACCCC